CACCGCTCTCGCTTCTCTTTGCAGCCTGTTTCCGCGCTCCGGCCACCGAGCACTCCGGACACCAGAGGCCTCGGAACCAACAAGCTGATGGCGTCTTCGACCCCTTCCTCGTCCGCCGCCGCTGCGAACGCGGGAGCTGACCCCAATACTACCAACCTGCGCCCCACAAGTAGGTCCCGCCCTGGTTTCCCATCAAACGGACTGCGGGGAGGATGATGGTACGGGGTCGTGGGGAGGATGCGCTGGCAGAAAGAGAAGGGGGTGGGGTCGCAGAGATGGTGATGGAAGGCCAGGGAATAAATAAGGCCCTGACCTGGGCCCGGCCAGAGGTCACCCGGCTGCTGGCGACGCAGGGCAGCTCCTGGAGCGCCAGAGAGTGGTGGCCACGCAGGGTCGCTACAGCAGGGATGGTTGGGCGCTCCACGGCTAGGGAGGGACTGGCGGCATTGAGCGTTGCTTTTGTTGCGTTGTGTGATTTTTTGGTTGTTTGGTTTTTTGAACGATGGAACAATAAGGAGCTGGGCAGGGGGAGGTGTGAGGATTGAGAAGCCCGAGAGGGGAGAGAGCATTTTCTCTTTCTGGCTTTCGTTGAGCCAGGATCTAACCCCCCTTCTCCTTTCCCCCTGTGCTGTGCTCGAAGTCTGTAATCAGCGGAAATTTCGACGTTAATTGCAGCTTTTAAAAAGCTCAGGGCCCCTAATTGCTCCAAATTTGCGTCGAGCTATTGACGAGAGAGGGAGAAGCCAGGGGCGGGAAAGGTGCAGAAATGGCTCGAGGCCATTTCGAACAATTACATTTTAGACCAAAAGATGGGGTGGGGTGGAGAGGGGTGGAGTGGGCAGCATACTAAGTGTCCAGGGTCAGGCAGGTTTGCCAGGGCGGGCTGCTAGGAAAGGGTCTCCTTAACCCCTAGAAGCAAACCTGTCAGCTGGTGACAAGTCCATAAGGCGGGGGACAGAGGGGGGACGGATAGACTAGGAGAGGGGGATACACGACTCCCTACCTCTAGCTGAGCTTCCTCCTTCAGCTTATTTCCAGAGTGTCTTTAATTGATTGATTGCTTACTTCTCCGTAGAGGCGTGGGGATGAGGCGTTTGCTCCCCCCCGCCCCCGTTTTTTTTCTACGTTAAATTGAAATGTCTTCACCACCACCACCCCAAATATATCAGCCCCAGAGAGTAACGGCTCCAGAATTTCTATATGGGACGGGTTTAAGGGCCAGCGTGTGATTAGGAGGGCTTCTTGCTGTGTTTTTATGTCACTTCCTATAAGCTTGAGAAAAATGTCCATTCACCAACAAAGGGTGGTGGTGGTCGGCGGTTCTTATCTGGTAAGACCCCGTCCAGTTTCTCGGCGCGGTCACTGGCTCCCGGGCAGGAGGCCTTCCCTTAAGTCCTCCGGCGGCTGCGGTCCAGTTCTCCTGGAAGCTGCCTCCCCTCCCCCCTACTCCCCTGGCGGGCTACAATTACCTGCACAACAAAGAGGGGCTCGGGAGTGCAGCCAGCCTTGGCGACTCCGGAGCTGGGCACGGGCGACAGAGCTGGACCCAGCAAGCTGGAAGGAGGGCGATGCCTGCGCGCCTTTTGTCTGTTTCTCTGCGCTGGCCTGGATGGATTTCTTTTTCCGTCCTCAGCCTTGCTAGCCCGAAGGGACTTGGCTACAAACGCGTTCACCCAGCCTTGAGACCGCCCTCCTTTGGGTCCGCTGCTACCCCTTCCTTAGGGCCGCCGGCTACTAGCGGTGTTTGCCCAGCCTCGGGTCCTAGACCTGACAGAGGTGCTGACCTAAGTCTGCACGTGGCCTGGCACGCCTCTTGGGACCGCCTTGGCGGAGGGAAGAAGGGCGATAGCCAGGCCCATGGGGAGCAGGCAGTCCCTGACCCCGGAATAGCGCCCCCCCGCCCCGCTCCCCAGTAGTGCAGTCTAGACGCCCGCACCCAAGCCTGTCAACGTCTGTCCTGCTCCCCACCCGCTCTTGTTCTGTAAGAGGCTCCTTTGGCTCTTCAAGGTCTCTTCCTAGACCTGCACAACCCTGCTTGTTCCAGCGACCCTCGGGCTGCAAGATGGAGCCTGACTCGCCTCGGGTCTTCTGGAACTCTCGTTCCATCAAAGAAGCTCTCTAGCTCCCTCTCCCCACCCCTCTTTCCCTCTGAAGCCGTACCCTCTAATTCGGAACGGCAATGCGACGTGTTTGAACTCCAACCTCCCCACTGAGTGACCTTGGAAAACTAACTTACCTTCTCTGAGCCTTGGTGTTTTATTTGTCAAAACGGGTCTCGGATGGACACTCCTCCAATCTGTTTCAGAGGACTGATAGGCAGATTCAAGCCAAAGCACTTTATCTGGTGGGACCAGCTCAATACCCGCCAGGTATTGTTACTCGTGTTTTGCTTTTGCACCGATTTCCTGTCTGCTGTAGGAGCCCGGTCGGTGACTAGCTGTCTCTCGGACGTCGGGCTGTTTCCTCTCCCTGCTGGGGCTCGGTGGAGCCTCGAATTTAATGGATGTCACTCTCCTTATCGCAGCTAACATTCGCGCCTGGTGGAGGCGCCTGGAGGGATGGGGTGGGGGATGGGAGGCATCGCCAGGGGACATCCGCGCTCAGCCTGTCGCACCGCCCAGCAGCGAACCCTACAGGCCTAGGGTTGCTTTCCCTGCTCCTAGTTGGAAGGTGAACCCCAAGGCAGGTAGACCTTGAGAAGACTATTGCAAGGTAGGAAAATTCAGCGGTTCCCTCAGAGGTCACGACTCGGCCCTAGGGCCCAGGGTTCCTGCTTACCGCCGCTTTCGTGTGCTCCTGACCGGGGATGTCCGAGTCCGGATCTGGGGCCCAGGCGTGGGAAGGGTTAACGAAGTGCCGAGGCGGGACGAGGGGCCAGACACCAGGGCTGGAGTCGCCCCACTGTCTTCCCACCTCGCGGTCCGAGGAAAAGGCAGCCATGCGAGCCCGATCATCTAGTCAAATACTATTTTTCACCCAATTAATTCCTGAACTCTTCCACGACCCCATTTCATGCCAGTTTATTTTAAGCCGCCACTCGACTGGAGACCCGCCAAGAAATGATGAGACGTTTCGATCCCAGATGTCTGTGTTCCCTCTCCGGGCTGCTGTGCATGCCTTTCCAGTCGGTGGGACTGAGACCTGGGGGGCAGGCGGGGCGGGTGGGGGCCTTCCCAGCGGCGTCTGGCCCACCCCTGGAGCCCCAACCTTCCAGACTCCCTCACGGGGGTCCCTGAGGGCCTGCAGGGGCGATAGGAGGACTGCCCCGAACCCTGGTCTATATGTGGAGGCAAGAGTGGCTGATGGGGGCTCCTCTGAGAGCACCTGTCTGCCGACCTGCTCCCTGCACTTGGGAGGCAGGAGCTGTGGGTGAGCCGGAGTTGGGGGGCGGCGGGGGGTACGACAGGCCAGGAATTCCAGTGCGCAGAGCCAACCTTTGCCCTTGCCCCCGAGCGCCGTGCCCGAGCTGCACTGACCGCCTCTCTTGCCTTCTCTCGCCCTAGCCTACGACACCTGGTGCGGCGTGGCCCACGGATGCACCCGAAAACTGGGACTCAAGATCTGCGGTAAGTGGAAAGGG